TATTTTGCCTCCATGACGCGGGCGGCCAGGGTGTACAGCGAGCTTTCTGCTGGCCGACCGGCGGGGCCTGTCTGGGAGATCGGAGGAGGATGAACAATTATTACAAGAACAGTGAATTATGCCATTCAACGTTTCACTAATAATTTGCTGAGACAGAAATAAACAGGAAGGAATCATAGCTTCATCTGACAAACAAGTGCAGAGCGCACAAATCGACCGGTTGGAGGATGCGTTTTACTTTCTCCGTCGTCCGCCAAGTGCCTCATGACGCGGCGCAATCGAAGCCCTGACCGGAGCATCTGCCGGAAGTTCCGAAAAAGTGGAAATGCCGAAACGGTGTGGTTGCTGCAACCGGACAGAAACGAGGCAGTTCTAGTCGCATGCATCGTGTCGGCTGGTTTAGATGGCTTCTAAACTGGATAGTAAGAGGCCGAAAGTGCACTGGCTCGGCATCTGATGGGGTCCACAGCGCTGGTGGCATTTGCAGCTTTCAACGCTACAACCGAGAATGTCTCCGCCAGAACACATGCTGAAGCATACGCAAGCCTGAGAAGAGGCTTAACGCATGTGATGGTTTTCGTCTCGTTCGTGATTGAGAAACGGGATTCTGTCCTGCTTCTGAGATCGACTGGCGGAAGCAAGGTACAGATTTCAGACAAGAGGCCAACCAGCGCTCAGTCATGTCGTCTTTTGAAGGGTTGACGTGCCGAAAAGTGTATGAGAACATGTAGTCTCGACATCCTGTTGTTGTGCTAACAAGGGACTGGATAATAACTTCCAAAATGAAGCGGACTAACTAGCCTACGGAAAAATTCATATAAAATTCATCACTATATAGTAGAGCTGGTTGTACTACTATTATTGCACCGATAGCACCGCTGGCCATAATGGAATTAAAAAAAGATCCTGTATTTTCAGTAAAGCTCTTCAGCCTTTCATAAAAAGCCCAGTGGAATCCGGTTTCTGGTTCTTGGTGGTCGGAAAAAGTATGATTACTAACGCCAAAATCAGTAGTGTATTCAGTTTAGTGAGAAAATGGTGTGAATTATGGGAAGAATACTTTTATTCC